TTTTTTTTTATTTTTTATTTATCTATTTTGATAAGTAAATTGGACGAAAAAAATAGTATTTTAAGTTATTAAGTGAGTTCCGTGAGATGGCGAAATATAAGCATACATAAAATTGTCCTAAATTATCATCTTTCCATTCAATTTTTATAAAACTAAAAATAAATCTTAAGTAAATTTCTATTCGTTTTTTATTTTAAAACGAAAATAGACAAGATAGTTTTTAATTGAAAACAAATCAAAAAGGTTAGGGTTTAAATTTGATACAAATAAAATTCATAATTCATAATTTATTCGTTACAAGTGTTTAAACCTAGTTTTTATTTTTTATAAGTTCCCCCCTCAAAAAAAAAAATTTGGGTGAAAACATAATAACCCAGCTTTATTAAGTAGCTAAGAAAATCAAAGAATACTCCAATTAAACTGTGTGCTATAATTATTATTGTTCAAGAGTACCAAACTATCAACAATTTGAAGCTATTCTCGGTGTAACTTTCTATTAGAGTTGCTTATAAAACATTAGAGAAACTTTTTTTAAGGAAAATCTCCAAAGTTTGTGAGCCCTTGCAACAAAATAAATCTTGATTTTTTAATTTTTGTCACTTAAATCCTATTTTTTTTTCATTTAGATTCTTAGTTTAATGACAAAATATATTTTTTTTTTCATACAATTTTACTTTAATGTGCGAAATAGACAGATGGTTTAGATTGAAATATAAATATAAAAAAATTAGGATTTTAAAATTTATAAATCAAAAACTGAGGGTTATTTTGTTTACAAGAGTTAAACCATGGATTGTTTTGTTGTTGTAAATTTCTCAAAAAAATAATTTAAAAGTCTTTTGCCATAAACTATCACTATTTGATACAATTTATGCTTATTAAGTAAAATAATTTCAATAAATTTTAATAAAAAATTGATTATTTAAAAATTAGGGAAAAAAAGTATTTTTTACTTCTGAATATCAATTTTTAATTTCTAAGAGCTTACATTAAACAAGTCCAATAACATCTTAAAGTATCTACTTATTTACCAATGATTATCAGGCCATTAATAAAAAATTTTAAGTCAACCCGATAATTAAAATATACACTAAAAGATTCTTAAAATTAAGCAAGTCATAAAAGAAGTTTCACTAAACAAGACCAATATAACACGTGTGACCTTGGTGTGTCGACCATGAGTTGTTGATGATCATGTGACACAAGTCAAATTCTCTCACTTCTGATCCTACACATGTTTTTGTTGTACACATTTTAAATTTTTTGTCAAATTGTATGGTGTACATTTATCAAATAAAATTCATGCAAGTGAAAACATTAGTTATAAATTAATAGTTGCAAGGTTGGTGGAAAGTACAACCCTAAAACATAAAATGCAAAGGGAATATTAACACTGAAAATACTTTCGCTATTTTCTAATGTTTGATGCAATAAAATAAATAAATTCATAATCAACCCAACATGAGCTAATTTAGAACAAAAATATTTTTTATTTAATAAAGATGGAAACATTTTCCAAACCTTACGAATAGACTAAAATCTTACCAATACAAAAGTAACAAATTTTCCAACTTTGTTTCTGATTTAAACCATGCCCTCTTATTTTTGGATTAGGGTATCCTGCTATGGTGTCCTAGTAGAGACTTTTTTCAAATTCTTTTTGATAGTCTAAAAATATATTATTCATGTAAAAGATCAAATTAATCGCAGCTCTATAACCCTATAATCATATTCTAATTATTTTTTAAAAAAAAAATATCAAGATCATGTTAATCATTTATTTTTTAAAAACAAATGTGCTCTTATTACAAAACTATAAATGTTCAATCATTTTGATATTTTGTATGAATTATCTACTCAACGAATCTTACAAGATGAACTATTCAGATTATCAAAACAAAAACTCAACACCACAGCAGGATCCCGTGGTCCTCATTTCTTGATCTACTTTGTCCCTCCTCAATGCATATTTATAAAAAAAAAATAATTCAAAAAATCTAATAATTATAACCTTTTTTTATTTTATTGCTTAAGTCTCTGAAAATGTAGACAAATATACCTTTTAAAATAGATCAGCCATTCTTTTCATAAACAAATATAATAAAATAAAAAATTACAATTATTAAATCGATTTAATTTTTTTCATAGATGATATACAATGCGAGTCCTACAAAATGAAGTGTTTTGATCGCCGAAACGGACATGTGGTTATCCCCATGAGTCCTCAGCCTTTCTAGAATGCTTCCTGTTTGTTTATTTGCATTGGTAACCATTAGATTTTGGAGTTGAGAGTTCAAACACAAATATGCATAGTAAATTAAAATAGATCCATACATCTTCCTTCAGATATGTCCGCAAGCACTAAAGAGGTTTTGAGAATTCACGAAGGAATGAAGCAAAATGGAAGTTTCACACATGCTACATACAAAATCCAAATATGTGAAGTAGTTTAAAAGACAGTAACCATCCTTTTACCCCAATGGACTGGCAAAGAGGAGAGTGAAAGTTCAGAACACATCTACTGGGGCATTGTCTTCTGGCTGGCCTAACCGAAGCATCAATATTCATCAAAGCACCATGTAAATGATCATAGGATTCGGAAATGACATCTGCAAGTAATCCACATAAATTGACAGTTAATTAATAGTACTATAATATTAACCATGACAAAAATATATATATTTGATCCTGTTATCATGCAGGCACAGACCAAACCAAGGAGAGAAATGGCGACGAGGCGCATTCGAAGAAACAGCAAGTTTATAAGCACTAGAAAATAGTTGAGAAATAAAGTAGGAGAGCAGTTCTCAAAAAGACTTTGAAGTAATTAATTTTGTTGGAAATAATCCAAAGCATTTGCTGTTGATTTTTCTTGCAGAGTTACAGACACCATATGACACTACAAGAAAAAACACATTTGGCGACTAAATTTTCAGTCGCCAAAAGTCGGTTTTTAAGTTTCCCCAACTAAATTTTTTAGTCGCCGGTTTGGTTGCTGGAAAACAGTCAGGAAAAGTATTGGCGACTAAAAAACTTTTAGTCACCAAAAAGCAAGTCTTTAGCGACTAAAACTTTGGTCGCTAATAGTCAATAATATTTTTTAAATTATACATTTGGCGACTAAATTTTTAGTCGCCAATAGTCAATTATATTTTTTAAAATTATACATTTACCGACTAATGTTTTAGTTGCCAATACTCAAGGAATTGGCGACCAAACAGATTTAGTCGCCAAAAGCTCATTCCAAAAAAAAAAAATTACACCCTACTCTTGTGGAGATTCGAACCATCAACTTTTCACACCATAAACCTTATACAACATACTCTTTCCACTACGCCTCCATAACATCATATAATTATATATGCAACATATATTATTTATATAATACGTAGACCCGTATTAATATAAAAGTATATATAAAAACATAATTATTTTTTATTGAACATAATTTATGTAAAAATAAATTATTTAGTAGAAAAAAAAAGGACACCACTTTTGGCGACTAAACACAATTTTAGTCGCCAATTCTATATTTTTGGCTACTAATTATTTTTTAGTCGTTAAAAAAAAATTTCCCGCTCTAAAATTACCACTTTTGGCGACTAAACTTCTTTTTAGTCGCCAAAAAGCATCACTTTCGGCTACTAAACATGTTTTTAGTCGCCGAATGCTTCACTTTTGGCTACTAATTTTTTTTTAGTCGCCAAAGGGCCTTACTTTTGGCTATTACAATTTTTTAGTCGGTAAAAGCCTCGCTTTTGGCGACCAAATAGATTTTTAGTCGCCGAATGCCTCACTTTTGGCTACTAAATTGTTTTTTAGTCGCCAAAAGGCCTTACTTTTGTCTACTAAAATTTTTTTAGTCGCTAAAAGCCATGTATCGGCGACCAAACAGATTTTTAGTCGCCAAAACCTATACTTTTGGCTACTAAATTTTTTTAGTCGCCAAAAATCTTTACTTTTTGGCTACTAATGCATTTTTAGGCGCCAAATGCTATACTTTCAGTGACGAAATGTGATTTTTTAGCCGCCAATAGTGATTTTTCTTGTAGTGTGAGCTAATTTTTCTTGCTGTTGATTTTTCTTAAAATTTATTTTACGTTTTTTATACATTGATTTTTAGTAAAAATAATTAAGATAATATTGAATATATATATATACTTATTACATTATCAACAATTGTGTTGATGACTTATTGGTTTGAGTGTTTGTTTTTTATGCGCTTGTTCCATGTTCAAGATTTCTTCACAACATATTTTTGAAAGAAACTTTAATTCTTCAAACCCGGCCAGTTCGTATGTCAACCTGTGACCGGTTCGCTGGTTATTCCGGTTGAACCGACGGTTCTTCTGGTTTTGCGCATAGTTCATGTAACAACCTCAAAATGCGTATAAGAAGCTATCTTTATTTACATATGGATTAATATGCTTTAATTTAATTATATCTGTTTTAATTGAAGAATTATCTGTTGAGTTACGACTTTAAAACCCGAATTGGTGACCTTTATGGGTTCGGAAATCAAATTTAGTAGTTGGATATGTTAGTGGGAATTTTTAGAGCTACTTGGAAAAATTAATTGGAAATTTAATTTGTCTGATTCGTTAATGCACATTTGGGTGGTTAACTTTGTATTGCAAATTGAAGGCCTTAGAGGTTTCAGAAACCAGAACATAGGACATATTTATGATCAGCATAATTTTTAGAGTCATCTGGGAAGTTTAATTAAAATTTGATTTTGTGCGATTTGTAATAGTGCGTTTGGCTACCCCTATTTGTGATAAGCTTATGTGTGTGATATATATATATATATATATGAGTTGTTGAATTCATCACTTTGGGTCAAAAATATCTAAGGGCGAGAGAAAGAGAACCGTGAGAGAGAGGGAGAGAAGGAGAGGCAAAGTTCCTTTAAGAGAAAACTCAACATCCATGGGGATTTGAAAACGATTGAAGAGAATTAAAGAGAGAGGAAGAAGATCAACCATAAAGCTTGGAAAATTGAAGAGATCAAGGGGAAAAGGAAAGATTTAAGATAAGGTATGTGGCTTTAGTCATTATCTTTGTAGATAACTCCTCTACCACAAAGAAACAAGGATTAAATGGAGGATTTATTATGTAAATGAATTAGAGTCTTGGGTTATGAATGAAATGAACTCTCTTCATAAAATTGAACCTTGATTCCTTAGAATTGCTTGATTGAAGAGTTAAATTCATTATATTTGCTTATCTTGAGCTTGATTATGAGAAGTTGAGCCCAATCTTGAGGTTTTGCATGGTTAATTATATATAAATAGAGATTTATGTAAATATGGAAGAAGAAGTCTTGGAAAAGAACTAAATTAAGAGATTGATCTTCCTTACTTGGATCTTCATTGTATTTTAATGTTTTGATTTAGAAAACAATTATGATTTCATGTTTTCCATTAGTTTTATATGTTTTTGGGTGATTTGAGTTGGAAACCAAGCTTAGAAATAGAAGAAACAAGAGTTAGAGCAAACAACATTTTCGGACAGGAAAACTGACTCAGAGCCACACGTGCGGCGGGTCTTCCCGCACGTGCGGCAATCCATTTCCAGATTCTGCTAAAAAAGCACGTGGTCCCGCACGTGCGGCCCTGTTTCCCGCATGTGCGGGGACAGCTCTATTCAGCCAACTTCAAATAAGCATATCTTCCACATCCGGACTCCGTTTTGAGTGATTCTTGAGCCTAAATTCAAGCCCCAGAAGTCTAGTTTCCAATGGTGGTGGGCTCACTCTCAAATTATTTGTATACAAATAGATATGCCAAAAATAGTGAAAGTTGTTCACTTTCTGTCTACCGATTTTGTACCGTTTCTTCGTCTAAGCCATTTCCCTATCGATTTCTCATATTTTCTGAGACATGGATTATGACATATTAAGGACTAATGAGTTTAGAACCGATATGACTAATTGATTTAAAAGCAAAGGAAGAGATTGATTATATCCTCATATTATGCTGTGTGCATTGTGTTGTAGGTCGAGACGAGGACATCTGTGTATGGTTTGATATGCATATTTACATTCTCTAAGACTATGCTCGTTTAACTAACCTCCTTACATTGCTATTATTCACTGAGCCTTGCTCACTCCTTTTTATGTATATTTATGTAGGTGAGCCATCGGGAACCGACACTAGAATTGTATGAGATCCACCTGTCTGCCAAGCCGCCTAGGGTATGCCTCCGTGTTGAGGCCTTAATTTTGATTACTGGGAGTTATGTAATTTATGAGTCTTATGTAAGTGTGTGTGAGATCTACATAAATTCTGTGATTGTTTATGTAAATTTGGAAGTGTACTTAAATGCTTAAATTTATTTATTTCATCATGTATGCACAAGCTCAATGGACGTTATCTTTATATTGATATTTGCTTCCGCTTAAGGCCCCGTATTTGAATAAGTATTCGTAAAATTTTGTTTTGAGGCCTATGTACAGGCCGGTCATGGACCAAACTTTTAGGGGCGGGTTTGGGTCGTGACAGTTGGTATCAGAGCACGAGGTATGATCTCACACACATGTCCATTGAGCATTAGAGTGTCTAGAATGCATTTAAGTTGCATATACCTAGTAATGAAATGATATGATGTGCATTTTGGAAGATGTATGTGAGCTTGTACAATGAGTTAAGTATTGAGATTAAGAATAAGAATTCTTATGGACTTTGGGGTAATAAAGGGAGACCCATATGTATTGTTTCATCGACTGAATTTTTTGACTAAGGAGGATTTGATAATTGTTATGAAATGAGAATGGGTTACAGTATGATATTGAGGCTAAGGTTATAAAAGATGTGGGATATTGGTGTTATCAGAATAATATAGGTGAATATAAGCATGTTTGTAGAAATGAGATGTGAACAGAGATTAAACGTAGTTTCTATATGGATTACATGTGAAATTAAACTATGAGGAATTTTGGGAAACTGAGGTTGTGGTTGATTAATAAAGTGTATGGAATTAGGGTAGTTGAGAAATGTGATGATTAATAACCGGTATGGGACTTGAGAGTTAGGAAATGATTTGATATAAGAAGTAGAGATGAAGGAATTGCCCCACCCACGTCTTGTGTGCTTGTCTGTGACACTATGTGTTATGGTGCAGCTAATGAACGATACTCGACGTGTTAACAGTCTGCATCTTATGACTCTAGAAGTAGATAATGGGAAGTAGGGATGAAATGGAAGTTAAGTTTTTGTAGAGGCAGCTGTATAAGGTGGAAAGAACATTTCCAAACATGATGAGAATTATGTGAACATGTCATGAGAAATAAGATCAAAGGAAGAAATTAAGTGTGAACTCGTCGAAGAATCAAAGAATATGGTGGGAAGTTTTATGTATGTTTGAATGACTATTGGAGAGTGTAGAACCTTTCAAGTGGATAAATGGGACTTGAGTTAAATGTTATGATAAATAGAGACACTTCGATTGGTGTTTTATGTATTTGAGCTATTGTGGATAAAATGTTAGTTGGAACCCATTCGTTTATCTGAATCATTTAGCTATAGAACGAGTGGATTAGTGGGCTAAGAGTATGTGTTGCGAGTTTCCTTATTACTTGGAAGATCTATTTTATTGGAATGTTATATGG